AAAAAAAAAAAAAACAGCATTGATGGTGTTTCCTTCGTTCCATCTGGAAAGCCCTCTGGCAAGACGAGAGCAAAGCTATTATGGAATTGGATTTTTTTTTAATCTTCTCCCTTTTATTGTCAAAATAATAACTTATTTGGTCTCAGCTGTCACCCTGGGTAGAGTGCCTTGGCGCCATAGCTCACAGTAACCTCCAACTCTTGGGCTTAAGCAATTCTCTTGCCTTAGCCTTCCAGTTAGCCACAACGCCCAGCTATTTTTTGGTTGTAGTTGCCATTGTTTTAGCAGGCCCTGGGCCAGGTTCAGATTGGCCAGCTTTGGTGTATGTGGCCAGCACCCTACCCAGTGAGATATAGGTGCTGCCCCTCATATCTTTTTTATTGTTGTTGTTAGACAGAGTCTCAGTTGGTCACCCTCAGAGTGCCATGGCGTCTTAGCTCATGGCAACCTCAAACTCTGCGGTTCAAGACTAACTAATAGAATTTTGGGTCCTACCTTAAAGGTGACTAAGTATATAATGTTACCAGTTCAACCTCATTTATCTGTTTGAATGCATAGATTCAAGTGTTTCTATGGTCCTGAAAAGAAGACTGTTTTTGTGTGGAAAGAGAGCTCAGTAGTGAAAAGTTGGTGGACAGGTCGTGAGATCTTTGGGAATGGTCTTACATAATAGTCCTCTTGTCTCAGATAACTATACCATACATAAAAAGAGCCATTGGCTTGAGTAAAGCAAGGTCAGGTCAGTATTTTCACAGCTTATTTATGAAAAGCCTAGTGAATGCTGGACAGTGTTGAAGGGGATCTATGTCTAGAGCCTAGGCCTCAGTTTACCATACTACCACAAAAGGTCGAGCATATTCTCAAATGTGAAAGCAGTACCCTCCTACTTAATATGATGTATTTGTTAGCCATTCAAAAATGTCTTGAGCAATAAAGGTAGCACCAGAGGCTTTTCCTGTCAGCTCAGGCCTTGAACTAACACCCCGCATGGTGTCTTTTCTTACCCACCAACTCAAATACAGGCTTGTCCCCATCTTCTCCCATGAGAGCTGAGTAATGAGACAGTAAGGAAATGGCTGATTGAGAAGACTATATTAAAATTTATTTAGTCTGATATTTCCCTCACTTGCCTTCTATACCTGGTGGAATGTTATTTAGTTTGATTCTCCTCATCTGTCTTATTTCTTTCCTAGTAGAATCTTATTTATAATTAAACACTTATAAGTTACAAGGGTTTTTTTTGGACTTAGCATTTTGAATTATGCTACTTTGTTCAGTTCTAGTATCTGTTTAAAGAATTTTCAATTTTGAACAGTTTCAGCCTAAACTAATTTAAACATAGCCTCTAAGGCCGGGTTCCGCGGCTCATGCCTGTAATTCTAGCACTCTGGGAGGCCAAGGTGGCTGGATTTCCTAAGCTCAGAAGTCTGAGACCAGCCTGAGCCAGACCGAGACCACATCTTTAAAAATAGCTGGGCACCTGTCGTCCCAGCTACTTGGGAGGCTGAGGCAAGAATATCTCTTGAGCCCAAGAGATTGAGGTTGCTGTGAGCTGTGACACCATGGCACTCTACCTAGGGCAATGGTCTGAGACTTTTCTCAAAAATAAATAAATAAATAAATAAAAATAAAATAAACATAGCCTTCATATTCAGGCTTAATTCTCATAAAAGTAAACACTTCTGTATTTTATTACCTTAAATAGTCTGCCATTTGAATGTACTGTGTTGTCACTTTTGCTGAAAGTGGGTAGTAGTATAAACTTTGCATTCCTGTGGTTGTTTTTCCCATACAGGTAGAATTGGCTTTGTGGGACACAGCTGGGCAGGAAGACTATGACCGCCTGAGGCCCCTCTCCTACCCAGACACCGATGTTATACTGATGTGTTTCTCCATCGACAGCCCTGATAGTTTAGGTGAGTGGCCCTGAAGACTGATGCCTATCACTGCCTTTGTACATGGCTGACATCTGCTTTCTCTGGGCATCTGGTTTCTGAACATCAAGTGGATAAAAATTAGACATGTGCTTCAGAGAAGGGATCATGAATGGCTACAGTTCTAGAACCTTGGGACTAGAAAGCATAGGCTCTGGGTCACTTTTAGCCTAGGTTTCACAGGTTAGCTACTGTTTTAAAAATGTATCCACTTTGTGGGGCTCAGTGTTGCATACCTGTAGTCTGAGGTAATTCAGAGGCTAAAGCAGAAATAACAGGTGAGCAGTTGAGCTTAGGAGTTTAAGCCAGCCTGGGCAATGGAGCAAGGCCTCCTTTCCAAAAAATTAACTTTTTTTTTTTTTTTT